TCACTTTTCACAGCGGTCTTCCTCCACCTCTAGCTCTTAAAACATCTCTGCTCCCGGTCCAATTATGTTCCCCAAGCCTTGGGAGGGGTGGTGGGGATACAGATGCTCCAGTTAGACCTGAGTCCTCCAGCACTGATTAATCATCCTCTGTATCTTGACCAGTTGTGAGTCTCTCTCTCTTAGCCATCCACTGAAAAGGAAGCTTCTCTGATGAGGACTGAGAGCCGCACTTACGACAGTAACCCTTGGGTTCTAGGATTAGGGCTATCCAGACGTGCAGACATCGCCTTCTTACTCTTCCGAACTTTTATTTTTAAATCACCTTTCACAGCAGTAGGTTTCTCATATAATTGTGGGGTTTGGCTAACCCTCTCCTAGTGTATCTTCCTCTTCCTCACTCCTACCCCCATGCCTCCTGAACCCCTCCCCCACCCAGCCCTCCTCCCTAAGGTATCCCCCAGTCCATTGGCCCTCTCATAGATCCTGCAGGCACTGCAAGATAAATCCACAAATCCAAAGATTCAAAACTGGGACACACTTATGAGAGACAGCACATGGCATTTGTCTTTCTGTGCCTGGGTCACCTCACGGAATAGTTCTTTTCCCCAGCTTCATCCAGATATTTGCAAATTTCGTTTTTCTTTGCAGATGGAAAATTTCTGTTGTCCTACATTTTTATTATTCGTTCATCAGCTGATGGACACCAAGGCTGATTTCATTCCCCAGCATTGTGAAGAGAGCAGCAAAGGCTAAAGGTGACCAAGTGTCTCTGTGTTAGCATGTGGAGACCTTCGGTCTTTTACTCACTGCTCAGAGGTGATATAGATTTTTGCAAGAAAGGAATACAGTCCAAACCAGTGTCCTAATCTCAAAGTGTTTGACCATTCACATAAAGTGACATGACCAGTTATTGCCCCACCCCCCGAGAAACCTAAGGAAGTCTATAGTAGCTACAAACTGTCTCACGCCTCTGAGTAAAGGCAAAAGTGTATAGAAAGGACGGCTCTTCAGCTTGAGTACATCCTTCCATCACCCCAAAATGTGGCTCATAGTGTCTGTCCATGAGTAAGAGGATTGGTGAGTTGGTGCACAGGGCTTGGCCCCCTTCAACATGAGCAAGGGGCACCTCACAGAAATCATGTCATTGTTATTGATAAAGGGAAGAAACATAAATTATGCTTATACAATTAAGTGAAACAGAGACAGATACAGATATATTAATAATTTGAAAACAGTTCATGAATAAACCACAGCTTTGAAGGTACTCTGAGACACAGGGATGATTTAGGACAGTCAAACGCTGCCACTTTATAGCTCCCTCTGAACTACACATGCCTATTAACAGTTCTGAAATTGGCAAAGTAAGATCTCGTGAGCAGGCTTTTACACAAGTGGTTCCTGCAATGTCGCCCGTGACTGTGACTACTGACGTGGGCCACATTTTCATATGCAGCGTGTGAGCCGCGTACCTGCTGTCAGGAGCAGCAAACCAGAAGCAGAACACCTTCTTTCAGGGGCATGGTGAAAAGGAGGAGGATCTCTGGACCCTAGGAGGTGGGGCTAGCGCAGGCGGAGGCACCTCACCAGCCCTTGTTGGAGTGGGAAGAGTGAGGTTTGATATTGAAACAAACCCTTGTGTACAAGGGGTCCCCAAATTCAAACCTTCTCCAAGAAGAGTAAAGCACAAACTAAGAAGCAACAGAACCCCCTCTGATCCATGTTTGCACTGCTCATACTGGGATGGGGTCGGGTCAGAATGAAGGTCACTTGGTTGAGGAAATGAAGAAATCAATGAAGGCCCAAAGATAAGACTCCCTGTAAAATGGTTGTTGGGGGTCTGAGGGTTATATTTGCTGGCTTGACATCTACTTGGTTATTCACTAACTGCCAAAAATTTTTTTTTTTTTTTTGGTTTTTTTCGAGACAGGGTTTCTCTGTGGTTTTGGAGCCTGTCCTGGAACTAGCTCTTGTAGACCAGGCTGGTCTCGAACTCACAGAGATCCGCCTGCCTCTGCCTCCCGAGTGCTGGGATTAAAGGCGTGCGCCACCACCGCCCGGCTACTAACTGCCAAAATTTAAAGACAAATACTTTAATTTAGCTATAAGCAACAATGACGTGGGTGGATTTTGGAGTTCAGTGATAAGACTGCTTAGTTGGTTTACAAATACTCCAAGTCCATCCAGCTGCTAACAATGTCAAAGCCATGATTTCCACTCAAAACCCCCTTTCCTCACATCCTTAACTCTATCAGTATTGGTTAATTCCATAAAGGATTAAATCTTAAGTTCAATACTTTAATAACAGTATTCATTTTATTTTTAAACAAAACCAAAGCAAGCAAATAAAAAGCCACCTCAGTGTTTTGTAATGCTGAGTAAGTGGGTGACTTTGTGTTGGGCCGCACGCAGCTAGGCTCTGAGTTAGACCTTGGTGACTTCGTGTTGGGCCACACGCAGCTAGGCTCTGAGCTGGACCCGCCTGTGAGTTGGCTGACAGACTTCCTCAGTAGACCTTGTCTGGTTGTAATGACTAACCCTTTCTGCTCATCAGCCATGATTAACAGCGAGAAGGCTGTTCAAGATGAACAGAACACTCCCACTAAACAACCAGGTTAGCAGGAATCCGCCACACACACACGGTGATAAGCCTCAGTCTCTAAATAAGTAGAACTCTAGTAGCTAATAAGTAGGCATGCGTCTATCTCCTGGGCACTTCCCAGAGTCCTCTTCACAAACTAGGAATTCATTTCCCCATCTACTGGGAAGATTGGCTGTGGGCTGTTGAGACTCATAGCTGATCTCTCCCTACGAACCGCTCTTGAGAACTCCCCTCCACTAAAGGAAACTGCCTTTCCCTAGAGCAATCCAAGTTCAAGGGATCCAAACCTAAAGCCCAGGGCTCCTGCCTGGATACACGACAACTCCAGAGGTTCTCCCAGGCGCAGGCTCACGTGGCTTCAGCCTCTCCCTTTGCCCAACCTTGTTTGTTCATTCTCTGGAAAAGCAGGCAGATTTTGAACGATATCCCAAGATCCCAAAACAAGGACACAGAAGAACTGGTGTTCTCACCCAGATACGTGTGACTGTCAGTCCTAGCTTCTATCAGTTCCATCAAGCCCTAGACCTTGTCATACGAGGTCCCTCTTTTGTCAGCTTCTACCATATCACTCATTCTCGTCCTAGCAACCCAGGCCAGCCCCACAGAACTCTGGACTTTCTGCTACACACATGTCCCTGCAGATCTTTGTCTTGTCTTGCCCCATGAAAGTGTCCCCTTCATTTCCAGAGCTGCTTCTTTAAGTTTTTCATGTCCCCTAGTGCTCCTACAGTGAGCTCTGTAGTCTCTTTCGCTTGGAGATTCTTAATTTATTCTAATGCGTTCCTTGCAAGCAGGGGCAGTCTCTTAACTAAGTTTTGCCAGTCACACAGCTTACAGATGTTTTGTTCAATGGATGAATAAATGAGGAGCTGCTTATGTAGGTCCTGGCTGAATCCCTGCCAATGCCCCCATGTTGAGGAAGTATCTTTGAGTAGCATCCAAATGTGGAATTGTTACAACCTTTCTCCATCGTGGAAGCCTGACACGAACATCTGGACGCCACTGCAGATGCTCAGGGATCCAAACTGTATGTGGTCTCCACAGATGGCACTCACAGAGGGGCAGAGAGTCTGTCACTTCCCTAGCTCAGTGGAAACTGATATGTATTTTTAAGCTCTCTTACTTAACATGTGAAGATAGTTCTCTATCTCTACCTAGTCTTAGATCCAACATAGAAAGCTCTTTGTTGGAAACAAGCTCCCTCCTCCATTTGACACAACACACAATGACTTAGAACTTGCTGAATTCCCATTTCTAGGTCAGAAATCAAATCTAATGTGGCTGCATCAAGCACAGCTGGTGTGCATGCCCCTGCACCCATGTTGTGAGTGGTCCCTTTGAAACACATGCATCGTGAATAGACAGGGTACACCTCCTTCTCTGAAGCTAAAACATTACTTACTAAAGGAGGGTCTGGGCATAAATCTAGGCAAGGAACTCTATTAACACCAAGCAGAGAAGGCTTGCGGAGTCTCATGCTCTCAACATAGAAACTGAAAGCTGGGCAAGGAGCTGCGTGTGCCCTTTACACAGGAAATGCTCCAATTTTGTTATTGTTCTCAACAAAAATGTGCAAACAACAAAAATATTTGCTGAGAGCTGACTGAAGCTAATGATGACACGAAGGTTTCAAAGCCCAGGTTTTTCCCCCTCCCCTTCGTTTCTTGGTTTTCTGTAAATGGAGTCAGGAAAGAAGAAACTGTTTAACACAATAGAAACTGAACTTTCTGGGCTTTTTTCACTTCACTCTCATAGCCTCTGCAGCAGGGAGCATGAAGACAAGGCAGTAACGCCTTCCTGCAAGGACACACATGTGATATACTTTATCTGGTCACGTGTGAGCTGAAGCAGAACCCAAGGCCCTCCTCCCTAAGTGTGGCTCTTTTCCACGCATAGAGGTCAGTTCTAAGGACAGAGATAAATAAGATTTTTATCACTTTGATTACGTGTACATGAGTGAGTTTGTGTATGAGTATGGGGTGAATGCATGTGCCCAGGCAGGGCAGAAGCATCCAGTCTCCCTGGATCTGAGCTGCCCAACCTGGATACTGGGAACCAAATACACGTCCTCTGCAAGAGCAGTGTGAACTCTTAACTGTTGAGCCATCTCTCCAGCCTCCTGCAGGCACCCACCCCCAAAATACTTCTGTTCATGTTGCTCAGGTCAACTATTCATTAATTTACTGATATACATAAGTATATCCAGCAGATAATATATGCATTATACAAATGCACACACATGTACACATATCATACACACGCACCATGCACAAACACATAGTATAAACACACACCCTCAGGTTTAACTGTCTAATCTGTGTCTTTAGAATATCCACGCCATTCACTCTTTCCAGGCACCTTCCCCTAAGAGGCTGCAGGTGAGGTGGTTATCCAAGGCTACCTTTTTAAACATCCGGGTGGAATCCTCGCTTATCTGCATGAACCGCATAATGACATTGTTCAGATAGATGTCGCTCAGGGTGGCGTGGTCTTTGCTTTCTCTCCTCACTTGGTTCAGGAGCAAATACCAGCAGTTCACTGGAGACAACAGGTTCTGGTCTTTCCTGAGGGGTAAAGGAAGACAGAATTACCATCATTTCAAAGTGTCCTGGCTCAATCAAGAGGTCACCCAGGCAGGCAGAGGAGCCCCAGCAGATAGGTGCTGGGATCCTTCTGTCTGCTCTGAGCATTCTTAGATCAGGACACACCACAGCCTGCAGGAATCCTGCAACTTACCAGGAAAGAAAACTTGGAGCAAAAACCTGGGTACAACTTCCTGCCCCTGACCAGGGCCCCAGGAGCCAGGCCTAGACAGTGCTTGGGCAGCCCCAGGTTTCGCAGCCCACTAAAGAAAGCAGTCATGTTTACATGAGGATCCATTGGCTACTGTCTCACACACAGACTGGTCTACCCCAGCTCACAAAGTCTCCTTTGAGTGTTCGGCCTACTGCTGGAAAAGAAATTTGGCTGAGCAAGCTTTCCACGGAACACAAACTTGAGGGTTATTTATTAATCCCTGGATGTATAACCTCCACCCTCCAGAAAGCATTCCTGGGGAATCCAAGGGCTCATGAACAGAACCTGAAAGTTTGCTGGCTCATGGCATGTCACATGTCTTGTTGAAACTTACTGAGCCAGCTCAGATTCATAAATGTTCCTGGTTTGTTTTAGAAAATAAAACTAAGTGAACTGCAAAGCATAAAAAATTAGACATATATACATGTATACTCGAAGAAAAACTCCATCCCAACACAGTAAGCAACCAACATATCATTCCTTAAAATAAATTAAATGTCCTCTCCCCTCTTGCCCCTGCCACATATGGTGGATGAGGGAGTTGACCTTCCCCCAAGCAGCTGCAGCACTCAGGAAAGTGGGCCCTGTACCCTGCCTGGGCAGCACAGCAAAGCTGGCCCTATTGACAGGGGTACAGGTGAACAGCCTCGAGAACATGAGTGGGGGACTGATCTGCCCCTCATCTGCCATATGGTGGTGTGGGCAGAGGAGTTGCCACCCACCACTACCCATGGCGGGTGGGAGAGCTGCCCTTGCCCCTCACCAGCTGCAGCACTCAGGAGAGTGACCTCTGCCACCCACCTGGACAGCATAGTAGAGCTGGTTCTGAGGGTCCAGGTGCGGGAGGGCTGATTCTGAGGGCGCAAAAGCAGGAGAACTGGTCCCACTCCTTGCTCATCGAGGCTAGGAGTGAACTAGCTGAGGCAATGCTGGAGGCCTCACCTGGGTGGTGAGACAGTGGGGGGGGGGAGGGGAAGAACTGGTGGGCCAACCAACTCTGCAACTATCCAGGCTGAAAACCAGGATATGAGCTGGCCAACCCTAAATCCACCCATTTATGATCTATGGGAGCAGATTAAGAGGACCGTTCTGTAGACCCAAAGCTCCAGGATCTCCATGACACGGGGCAAGATGAGGATAACCAAGAGGAGTCCCAGTAAGGGCCCAGCTTCAGTAGTGTGGCAGAAACAAAGACCTTGAAGCAGATCAATGGCTTCGCAATGAACACTTGCAAGTGAAGATACATGAACAAAAGAGTGTACCATATGACTCACTGTGTCATACTACGGTTTCCATGACAAGATGCTTGCCTTCTTTTTCCTCTTAAATTTTATTTTGGGGGTGGGGTTGCAAGGGCAGAGGGCAGATATGGAGGGATGGAAAATAAGGGGATCAAGATGCATGATGAGGCTGGGCGGTGGTGGCACATGCCTTTAATCCCAGCACTCGGGAGGCAGAGGCAGGCGGTTTTCTGTGAGTTCGAGGCCAGCCTGGTCTACAAGAGCTAGTTCCAGGACAGGAACCAAAAACTACGGAAAAACCTTGTCTCGAAAAATCAAATGGCAGTGTTTCTCCTAACTCAGGCACAGAAGAGCCATGCTATATGATGAGGAATTTTATTAATTTTGCTCTTAAAGTTGCATGTGATCTGAAAGGGAAGGGATGGGGGGCAGGGAAGGGGGATACATGTGCCATGGCAGAAACACAGAGGTCCGAGCCAACCTCCGATGTGTGCCCTCGCCTTCCCAGGTGCACTGGCCTTTAAAGTTCTAAAGATTCTCCCAGGAGTGCAGGGATGACAGATGTACGTGTGCTAACATGTTTGGCTTCTACACAGGTTCTGGGATCATGCAAGCGCTCTACTCCCTGAGTCATCCTTACAGCAAGATGTAATGTTTTATTATTCATGAACATGTATGACTGAACATTAAGTCAGGGGAAAGAAAAAGAAAGCCACGTCGTTCTACCATTAGGTTTCTTAGAGTCTGCATTTAATATTGCATTGAATCTAGGAAGCTGAGGCAGGAGGATCAAGAGCTTGAGGCCAGGCTAGGCTACACAGCAAGTTCAAGGATGCCTTATAAGGAAATCTCATCTTAAAAACAACAAAAATCTCCACTGTCCCCCAAACGCCTACATTGAGTTACAAGCTCTGTTCACAAGACAAAGAAAGCAAGAACAGAGGCAGAAATGGGTTCAGGAAGAAATCCCCATGCACACTGGGATGCTAGCTCTGACCTGGGACGTCTTTCCTCTTAGAACCATCAAGAAGGAATGGCGAGTTCATGGCAGGTAAGTGGAGCTTTTCTATCTGTGTCTCGTCAGCCCCAAAAGCAAGCGCTGCTTGGTTCATTTGAACTATGCTTATCCTTTATCCTGAAGCAACTAATAAATTCCCTAAGAATATTTCATATGCCTTTATATCCTTGGTACACACCCAGATGAAAGCACAAAACAGTATTTCATGGATTGAATAAAAAACGCATTATCACTGTCTTGTTATTAGTGCCAATCACAATATCGATGATAATAATAGAATAAAAATAGAAGGTATCATTTACTGAGCCTGGGAACTTCAAGCCAGGTTAGGGGAGGTAAAGGCGGGCAATCTCAGCAACACGGAAGGCTGAGGCAGGAGGATGACAAATTCAAGGCCAGCCTGGATGACTCAGGGAGACCCTGCCTCAAATTTGCATAAATGTTAATGAAAGCTTGTGGGTTGTACTCAGGCTGGGCTCTCATCGCTGCTCGCACACCCTGTCTGTGTGGCTAGGATAACTGTTAATGTCTCTGTACTTCATTTACTTTGTACAACTTATAAAATAGCAGAGCAGGTCTCATGGGGTTATTGTGAAGATGACGTGGGCTACTATCTACGTTTAAATGCTTGCTATCATGCCTTGGACACAAGGTAAGTGCTGTGTATACAATGTTAGCTATTTTTGTCTAAGAGGCCACTCGGATTGAGATCTGACAGTAACTCTACTTAATGCTTCCCACAGCCACTCTCTGTGTCCTGACTATCAACACGAGAACTAAAGCTCACCAAGGATTTGGTGAGGACCAAAGTGAGGGTCAGAGCGAGTCCTTGTGTGGGAGGCTGATATGAGCCTTGCTGGTGGCATTTGCTGTAGCAACTCGAGGCTACGGACTAGTGACATTAGTGATAGTGACCCCAAATTAAGTAAAGCCAGGCTCCGAGGTCTAGTTTCAACAGGTATGTGCATGACTGTGCTTAAAGACTCAGTGTCTGGAGAGAAGAGAAGGAGCATTGTACACACATCCCTAGCCAGCCACCAGTCACAGCGAGGGCTCTGCCCTGTCTGTTACTGCCACTCATGGTCATGAGCCGTCAGGCCTCCTGCCAGAGAAACCAAAGCTTGAGAACGTATGTACTGCCATGGTCACGCAGTAGTCTATTCTAACCCAGGTCTGGCTGATGGCTAAAGCCAGCTTTTATGTTTCTGACCCATTTCCTCTCCAGCTCTACAATCAATAACCAATAATGCTCAAGCCAAAGGTGATTTGAAGATTCATGTACAAATATTTATTACATTTATTTATTTGGTGGCGCACAGGCCCATGGGGGTCCGAGGACAACTTTCAGTAGTTCATCCTCTTCCCATCAGTGAGTTCTGGCGAACTGAACCCAGGCCATCAGGATTGGCCTCTACCTGCTATAAGCAGCCATCTTGCCAAACTGGCTACTCTTCTTTTAATTCAGGCTCCAAAGTCATGGAAGGGTATGAAATGGAACTTCAGATCACTGAGAAGAAAGAGGCCCAGTTCTCAGCAGCACCCCCACAGTCAGGCTGAGCAGATCGGGGGTCTCTCTGCTGCCCTTGTGTAAGAGGACAAACGGTCTTGTCTTCCTTTGTCACTGGGATGGACTGTCCTCTGGAAGAAGAGGACAATGAGGAGGGGCCGACAGTGAAGTTCTCTGCTCCAAATCCTTCCTTCCTTCCTTCCTTCCTTCCTTCCTTCCTTCCTTCCTTCCTTCCTTCTTTCTTTTTTCTTCTACTTCTTCTTCCTCCTCCTCCTCTTCCTCCTCCTTCTTCTCTCTCTCTTTTCCTCTCTTTCTTTTTTCTTTTCTTCTTTCTCTTCCTCCTCCTCCTCCTGCTCCTCCTCCTCCTCCTCCTCCTCCTCCTGCTCCTCCTCCTCCTCCTCCTCCTCCTCCTCTTCTTCTTCTTCTTCCCCTCCTCTCTTTCTCTCCCCTCTTCTTTTTCCTTTTCTTTTTTTTTTTGACCATGGAACTATCCCCTAAATCCTATGGATCCAGGTGTACATTTATAAGATATCAATTACATTTTAACCTTCATTTCTGGGTTTTTACAGCACAGGTGTTTTCCACATTCCCTGGCCCACTGTGCTTTCTGAAACAAAAGCCCATGCAGCTTTTTTACTACCTCCCCAACTGGGCAGTCCCCTCTCCCTCCACAGTGGCTAGATCAGAAGGCCACACACCATGAGAGACCCTTGGTGTTCTTCCTTCTCTGATAGCTTCCTGTAGCCCACAACCTTACTTGTCACTTAAATGCAGGTGTGGGCGGTTCCACTTAAACCGCTCCAAAGATTCTTATGTCCACAGGGAAAGCCCACAAAGATGTGTGAGAACTTGTGATGTGCTCCAATTAATGCCTGTGGCCGCACTGCCCATCCAATTACGATGTACTCCCAAATAACCTTGCGAACCTGGCGTAGGGCCCTTCCCCTGCAGTCCTTTACTGACGAGGTTCCCTTCTTCAGTCCCCCTTCCAGCCAGCCAGTCATTATGCAGACTACTGTATCACTCTTCCTGGGAGATGACGGTTCAGGTAGTGTTTGCCTCGCAAGCTCAAGGATATGTGAGTTTGAGCCACAGACCCCAACACTGAGGAGGCAGAGGTGGGCAGGTAATACCCCTGCGTTGTTCTCTGGCCTTCATAGATGTACACACTAATGTCTGTGCACCACTATACATACATGCGCTGGCGTATGTGCATGCGTGTGCACACACATACCCTATTCTTCCAGGACTTTCCCTTCTCATCTTCCATTACAGGACATGCTAGCACAGTCTGCCAATGGAACCCTGCACTGGTCCCTGTTGGTCACTTGTTTACAATCACCTACCTGTCTCCCTGACTCTGGGGTTTAAGTTAGAAAGTAAATTTCATGAACCAAATAACCTGCTTTTTTTTTTTTTTTTAATGACTACAAACATGTTGGGTGGAGGTGGGGCATGCTCCCCAGGAACACTAAGCCCAAACAAAAGTTGTTGCTTATGTTCTTACAGAATCACCAGCGAGTGGCGCAGGTCTACAATCCTGACACTTGGCAGGCAGGACTTTCACAGGTTCTAGGCTCGCCTGGGCTACAGAGTGAGACCTGGTCTCAAGAAATGGCAAGAAAAACAAACAACTCACTGCACAACTCCTGAGGCCTTTGCTTGAAGCAGCGCCTGCAAACTCACCCTTTCAAAGGTCTGCCTACGGCTGAGAGCAGCTTCTTCTCTGTAGCTGGGAATTTTGTAAACAGTGATTTCAAAATATAAGTTTATGTCTCTGCAGCATGAGTGGGAAGGGAGAAAGGCTGCTAGAGTTATGGGGACACGATCACCAATAACTTCTTAGACAAAGGAGGAAATGCTCAGAACCGAGAAGCGGGGTACCTGATCACCTTGGAAGTTGACTCTGAATCAGGTCTCTCTCCAGCCATCTGTCCCTCCCTCTCTTACCCTCCACCCCAGGTATCGAACCTATGAACTCATGCACGTGCGGCAAGCGCTCAGTCCCCAGAGCAGCATCTAGACCTGGAGAGAGTTCTTACTTGAACTGCTGGTGATCCTTGGTGCTTCTCGTTTTGGCCATGAACCTTTCCGCCAACTTCTCCAGGTTCCGGGAATATTCCGTCTCGATTTCAGCTTTCTTCCGGAAGAAGTCTTGCAGGTCCTGGAGCAGCTGAACCCGCATCTCTGTCTGTTGCTCGAGGCATTTCTGTTGCTCCACCAGCTGAGCTCGGATCTCTGAGGAGAGACAAGAATCCACCTGATGACATCATGAAAGTGACCAGGGTAAGCGGGCAGGCGAGGCACAATCACACAGGTGGCCTTGTTACGGACTCTATTGGAGTCCTGTATATCACATCTGTTCGTGCATTATAATAATGTGTACTGCACACATGTGGGCACATGTGCAAGACAGAGTGGATGTGGGAACCAGAAGAAAATCCGTGGGGGTTGTTCCCACCTCCCTGCCATGTATGCGTAAGGGATCAAACTCAGATCATTAGCTTGGTGGCAAGTACCTCTACCTATTGAGCCACCTCACTGGCCTTTGGTTGTTTAATTTTACAAACATCTGTTGGTCTATTATTTAAAGAAAAAAAAATGAGCTGAGACCTAGGGAAAAATACAGCATATTTGAACAGAAATATGTCTCACACGTGTTAGAGTACAAACACACACTGAGTCAGGAGGGAAAGGAGTTACAGCTTGCAGACGATCCAAATGCTGAGGTGCTGTTGCCATCAGAGTGGACTCTAAACTCGTCAGAGGCGCTTTACATTAACTACCCCTTTGGAGCCTGAGTCGAAAAGAAATGGGCACCGTCTCTTCCGGACACTGGAGCTGACACACGTGTCAGTTGGCACGCTCAGAGACTGACATCTGGCAGTTTTTATTTCGGGCACACATTCCTCATTTGTAAAACACTTCGCTTCGGGGTTTATAGGCATGCTGGACCCTAAAAATAACTTCTTTCTATATCCAAGTAATCCATTCAGAACAGGCAACCTTCGGGTCCAACTCATTCTACTCGGAACAGCAAGGCTGCTCTCCCAGCCTTAGCTTGAGCACACTGTTCAAACCAATACCTTTACATGGCACCCATTCTGAGGCTCCACTGACCATGGTAATACTTTAGGAAGTCGAAATATGTGTATCTACGGATTCAGGGAAAGCACAGAGCAAACACAATGGATACAACTTAGTTGTAAAGTGGCCACTGCAGGGAAAGCTGTGCTCTGGAAAAGAGGGCACACTAAGCACACACCACTGGCTGACTTTTGTTCTAAGACCTGTGGTTAGCTTCCAAAGACAAGAATAGTATTCCCTGTGGAGAACGTCTGTGCCCCTCCTTCCCCACTGCCCACGCCTATGCCTGAAAAGAGGGCAGCAACCTAATTCAGTGGAGACAGAGGAATCCTGTTCCAAGAGTACTTACTTCTAGACAGAGCTGATGATGGATACACGGGGATACGCGGGGATTTGCTCCTGCTAGTTAAACTCACATAGCCGGATGGTTATGGTGTGAGTGTAGGAGGTAGGTCAAGAAATTTGTCGACTTTCCGAATACTGAATTATAACATTTACTTCTTCATTATTTGCATCAGCATTGCCTTCACAGTTAGTAAGGCGATGTCCTGGGACCCGTCTCTGCTCTGTGAACCTGACTACTGGAATACTTCCTCCATCTTTCTATCCATCCAGCAGCTGAGTGGTTGTCGCATCTCCCAGTGATAGCTTAGCAGAGAGGCCCAAGCTCTGCCCTGATCTCTGTTATGGTCTAGGCACCGCTGCGGGGGGGGGGGGGTGCCTCGGCAAAGGCAATGAGGCACACCTCATGTTCTCTCTGGGCTGAGGGATCCTCCTCCCAACCTCTCAGGAGTGTGGTGGTTGCCAGAGAGAACACATCAACAGGCTTTTAACCACAAGGAAGGGCATCTGCTTCACCGTCAATCAAAGTAAGCGGTTTCCAGTATAGTATTATAATCAGCGTGGCTGCCAAATGCTTTCTCCTAAAAAGATGGAGCTATTTTTGTTTCATGAAGGAAAAGAAGAAAAAAAAAATCAAGGATGAGGGTGTTTTTCATTCAGGAATTCCAGTAAATCTTTTGAGACGAAGTGATTTTTAGTGAATCCTGCTGTGCTAAGAGAAAATGAATCCATCACATGAGGTCCTCCCCATGAGCCACTTCCTCTCCTTGGTATCCAATAGGAAATACAAGTGGCTCTGCTACAAAGCTTATCAAAGTTCTCAGCAATTATACAGGCTTTCTTCAACTGGGTATAAATAATTAAAACTCCTGGAAAAACCATGAGCCTTTGGTTCTGTACCAAGGGCTGCAAGTCCTTCCCTAACCCCAGATTCCTGGGCAGTCCATGAAGGCCTCTCCCAGCAGCTCTCATGGGCCAGTCTCGATGCGATTATTACCTTCAGACTCAAGGTTCATTTTAATGTAGCACATCATTATCGAGCCTGTATCTTACATTAGGCAGAGTCCCAGGCTCTGGAGACACAGCTTCGCTGTGGACCAAATCCTTTTGTACACCATGACTATGTATTACTGTCACTGGCTAATAAAAGCTGATATTTTATCAGTAGCCAGTCCCCCTTCCCCCCCAAAATAGGTGGAATGATCAAACTGAGGATACAGAGAGAAAGATGGGCAGGGTCAGAGAGTCGAGAGCAGCGGTGGAGAAGACAAACGTGCCATACTAATCAACGTACCACCACAGGGCAGAGCATAAATAAGGAATATGGGTTAATTTAGAATGCAGGAGCTAGTTAGTAATAAACCTGAGCTATTGGCCAAGCATTTACAATCAATACAAGCCTCTGTGCGGTGATTTGAAAGCGGCTCCCGGGATGGAAAAACTCTGCCTATACAGCTTATACTATGGTGAACCTTCCAAATGTAAACTCAGCGCTGCTCAGCTGGTAGAGAGCTTGCCTATCGTGCACGAAGCCCTGGGTCTGGCTTCCAGCACTGCATGCATGCACCAGTAGTTGCAGCACACACCTGTCATCCCAGTGATTGGGAAGCAGAGGCAGGAGGATCAGGAGACCAAGGTCATCCTCGGTTACAAGTTTGAAGCCAGTCTGGATTACAGGAGACATTGCCTCAAAATGAGAAACAACCGATCTGAAAGCTTACTGCCCAGAACTGCTCTCATGAGACCGTACAGCCTGTAGCTCCATTCACATCATGTGTCCAGATAGACTCCTTCAGAGACAGAGGCAGATGAGTTTTGCTTGGGGGCTGGGAAGTGGCTGTGGTTGGGGGAGAGCTTCTTTTGGGGCCAATGAAAAGGATCCACCATGAAGAAAGTATGGAATATATACATATTAGAGTACTACTCAGCAGTAAAAAACAAGGACTTCTTGAAGTTTGCAGGCAAATGGATGGAAATAGAAAACACTATCCTGAGTGAGGTAAGCCAGACCCAAAAAGAGGAACATGGGATGTACTCACTCATATTTGGTTTCTAGCCATAAAT